GCTTGTGAGACTCTTATCTCCAAATAACCACCAGAAGATCAGAAGTGGAGCTGTGGCTCAAGGGCTAGCCTTGAGCACAAAACACTCAGAGACAGGCCCTAGGTCCTGAGTTCAAACCCCAAAGGTTGTCCGTTGTATCACTATTGTAATGAACTCTTGTCAGTTCCTAACCACAACCATTGTAAATCTTGTTGTTCAGAGTTTTTTAATCTGGTAAGGAGTTCTGAGAACATTAAAACTCTTAAGACAGAGTGAAGAATTCTCAGACTAGGGCTGGGAAGGGGCTCAGTGGTAGAGTGCTTGCCTTGCAATGCATGAGGCCAGTGTTGGATTCCTCTTCACCACATAAGCAAAAAAAAAAAAAAAATGAATAAAAGCCGGAAGTGGCGCTGTGGCTCAAGTGGTAGACCGCTAGCCTTGAGATGAAGAGCTGAGGGACAGAGCCAAGGCCGAGTTCAGGACCCACAACCAGTCCCTCCCCCCCAAAAAAAGAATTCTCAGACTACTGATTAAACAGAGTCTTTATAAACATCAACTTGATGTTTAACCAAACATCAAGCAAAACAAGAATTAATTAAATACTAAGGGAATGACTTGACATTTTTCCTGTTAAGTCAGCTAGCACTGAAATTATAAAGCTATGCCTCAATACTTGTAAGGCCAAGCACAGTGGGTCTCACCTGTAATCCCAGATACATAGGTGGTAGACATGAGGAGAACTGGATTTCAGATTAGCCCCAGAAACAACTGGCAAGACTCCATCTTAACAAAAAAGCTGGACATAGTGATGTGTACCAGTTATCCCAACTAGATGGGGGCATAGGTATAAGGATCATGGCCCAAGGCAACTCTGGACAATACTATGGGATCCTATCAGAAAAATAACTAAGACAGAAAGGTCTAGAGGACTGAAGTGGCAGAATGCCTGTCCAGCAATCAGAAGGCAAAGAGTTCAAACTACAATATCACCACAAAATTCACAGTGAATAATAGTAAGTCCATTGCTAGGTGTGGCCTGAACCTTGCTGAGTCTTGAAAGCTTCTGCTTTTATGTTATTGCTTTGTGGTCCTGGAGTTTGAATTTAGGGCATAGCACAAGCTAGGCCGCCACTCTACCAGCTGAGCCACCATCGCCCTTTGGTAGTCTTCCCATCTCCACTTCCTCAATGGCTGGGATTCAGGCATGAGTCCTAATACCTGGCTTGAAGCTTCTGGGTCTGGGCACTGTCCCTCAGCTCTTCAGCTCAAGGCAATCATTCTAGCACTTGAGCCACAGTGCCACTTCTGGCCTTCTGGTGGTTTATTGGAGATACGATTCTCATGGACTTTCCTGCCTGGGCTGGCTTTCAACCACGATCTCAGCCTCCTGTGTAGCTAGGGTTACAGGCATGAGCCACCACTGCCCAGCATGTTTGGTTCTTGAAGACACATATAAAAAAGTGTACTTTAGCTTCTGGCTATATTCTGTTGACTGTCATACTGCTCTCCCTGATGTGCCTGAATGCCCTGAATGCCCTCAAGACAGGAAAAGTGAATGCAGCCACACTTTTGTGTATCAAATGGCCAACAGACACGTGTAGAAAGCATAAGGAATTACTCAGCTGCTTTGCCATTACAAACTATGCATTTCATATTGAAGCAAAATGGATCAGTTATTCCAATGAAAATGCTGTCAATGCTTAAGGTTTTAGTCAAAATTAAAGCTGACCAAAAGGGGCACTATCATTGATAGCCTAAAGCTGCCTCACAGGCCTGTGAATACAGGGGTCTGTAACCACCTTATGTCAACAAACTGCAGCCTGGGAATATTCTGGGAAGAAGGAGCTGAGCAGTCAAGCAGCCATCTCATCCCAGGCTGCATGCTGCCCAGAAATGCGCAAAGGAGGCAAATTTACAGTTTCTATATGTCACTTTTTTGTTGTCCATAGCCACTGTGTGAGAAGACTCTTGAGTGAATAGTAGTTAGTTCAAGTGTTGCCCAACATCTAAACCTTATTTTGGTGAAAAGAAACCGATAATTTGCATTTAAAAAACAATTTTCAGTAAGAGCTACTAGATGGCTTTCAGAAAAAATTCTTTGGATCCTTAAAGGAAAATCATTTCCAATTCACCTGTGAAGTGTAACTGTTTCTGACTGTACTGCTGATCCAAAGGTAGGGGCCCCACCCCTAGAAGGAACAGTACAAGACTATGGAGCAAGAGTAGGCACAGGCACACAGTAAGCACTTAGTATAGGATAAAGTCAGAGTTCTGGCTTCACTCTGTGTCATGTCTTCTAAGGACTTCCAAGAGTCGGCATACAGCAAGTGCCAGCCCCATGAAGCTCCTACACAGACTTCATTTATCCTTATCTCTGTACCTCCATCAAAACATTCTAACAAAGAATTCTGCCTCAGACTCCAGAGATGCTCAATGACCAGAAGAGATTCTCCTCACCAAGGCTCCAGCTTCCATCTCCAAGGATCATAATCACCAAGTGATAAGAGTGAGCTTTTAACAAACAATGGAGGTGTAGTTTAGGGAGTTGGCAAAAGGCAAGTCTACCCTTGTCCATTGTGCTAGCAAAAGCTGAAGAGCAGGTTAAACGTGCACTGTGAGACAGACTGAGATTGGGAGAAGAGTTAGCATTGTCCAAAAAGAAATGTGCTCATTACTTGACAGATGAAACTACCACCAGACCTCTGTGCATCACCTTTATAATAATAAAAAGAAAGTTAGAAAATAAAAGTGGGTTGTTGGCAGAGAGAGTGATGTTTCCAACGCTTTCACGTAATCAGATTCAGGAGTCACTTTCCTTTTGCACATTATTTCCCTAGCTGCAAAATTTAGCAGTTGGCCTCATTTTTAGCCAGATCGCCATAAAGAAATCCCACAAAAGGCAGGCTTGTGTTTGTAAGTTGGAGGCGGAGCGCTTCGTACCTTGTGCCTCCATCCAGCACCGAGGAGAGTTTGCTGCAGTTGGAACACATCAGGAAAATCAACTTCGCAGTGGGTTGTAACCCTTCCTGATCAGAATTATGCCCCGTGTTAGACAGAGTGGATGCCCGTGCGCAGGAGGTGAAGGGAGCAGTCAAGCGTTAGCGCAGGGAAGACACCGGCTCGCGCCCCGCTCTCCGCTCTCTGCTCTCCGCTCTCGGGGGTCGCAGCCCCAGCTCTCACCAGCCCCAGGAAGGCCAGATACACGGCCGCGGTGGTGAACCAGCGCAGCAGGCGCTGGCCGCGGCTGCTCCGCCGGGAGCTCTCCAAGGTCTCCATCTTCGTCGCATTCTCTGCCCGGGCCTCGTCCTGGTGCGGCCGCTGCCCCGCAGGCCCGGCCCCACGGAAGTCCGCTTCCAGCTCCAGCTTGGCCACCCCGCAGAACGCTCGAGCTGCCCACGGCCCCAACTCCTGGCCCTCCGGCCCGGACGTCCCTCCAGATGCCCACTCCCCCAGGGGCTGGACGCAGGCAGGGCCTGGCGAAGCCGGACTTCGGACTTGGGACTCCGCAGAGGCTGGTGTGGAGCAGACAAGCAACCGGCAACGCCCAGACACTCATGCCAAGCGGCTGGTGGAAATGACATCAAACACCAAAAGCCGGCTGGGCTCCAGACCGGAAGCTGACCTCGTTGCCTAGGAGACCGCAGGACTCAGGCTGGGCCCGGTCACAACTTGAAGCCCAGCTGGCTTAGCACCACCATTCTGTTCTCAGCCTTCTTAGTACCTAGGTCTACAGTCAGCAGCCACTAGTGTTGGCTCCTGGATTGGTTTGTTTTGACACAGGCTCTAACTAGATAGCCAAGCATCCTGCCTCACCAGCCTAAGGGCTGCTTCTAAGTAAACCCCTAACAACTTAAAATCCTGTTTCTTTCAAACAACATTTTCCCTGACAAATAAGTTTATATCAGGTCCAGTGTTTGCCTAGCAGGCACAAGGCCCTGGCCTCAATCCCCATGACTAGAAAAAATTATGGAAAGGTACACATTTGCCCTCTAACCATTGCTCAGAAAGTAAACCAGCTTCATTTACCTATTTAATATTCATTTACTATTCATACCAGTCATTCTTACCACTGTTTTCCAGGCGAATTGACTTCTCAAAATGTCTCCAAGTTAAAAATAACATACCTGCTACTGATGAATAAATACTATTCCTTCGATGAAGGGAGACTTGGGCCACAAAGATTGCCTGGCAAGGTTGATCAAACTGTCCCTATAGAAGGCTCAGTGCTTCCTCATCATTTCCCAAAGTAAATATTGATCTGTAAATACTGCGTCCAGTTGCAGAGATGAATACATCAGCATTACATGCAATTTTTTTCTTCCCTTAAACTTACATTTAAATAAGGGATTCAGAGCTCACTACACCCCTGCCCCAGTTCGATTCTAGACTCTGGTATTGACATTTAATAAAATGATTACAGTCTAGATACCCATATTTATTTTTCTTCTTAAGAATTATTCAAGTAAAGACAAAGCTGCAATGGAGACTATAGGAAGGTAGAGATTCTAGGTATATGAAATGCATGTCAAGGGAAACTGCCGCAGTGAGATAAAGTAGAGAGTGTACCAACTCTTCATAAATGCTGCTGTAATGTATTCATCTTGTTTTGCTGAATCTAATACACTGTGGAAAATCAACATTTTTTACATCATTTTCTTTCTGTACAAAAAAACCTGTCATTTAGTCCAAAAGTGGTAAAACAAAACAACCAAAATATATCCAAAGTAAAATCTCCCAACACTGTAAAGGTATATTTATTATAGGACACGCCCTGATTTCAGAGGAGTTAGAATGTGACTGAATCATGAAATGCAGCATTTTAACAGACCCTTATTGAGAAAATCACAAATAACACAATAAACATTAAATACATTGAATTAGAGCATATTAATAATCACTAGCAAATTCCTAAAGCTCTTTGTTTCTCTTTCTCTACTCAGTTGACATGAAGAAGGGACTGGAAATCACATTAATTCCTAGAGGATATCTCAGAGAAACTATGAAAATGAGAGATTTTCAATTTAGAAATCAGTTCTTGAGTCCCAGGTGAGGTCTTTGTTAAGTGCCTCTGTGTTGCTGGAAAGCTGAGTCCTGTTTTGAAGCAGCTCTCTTTGGCACTGCACGGTGTCCTCTTCATAGAGCAGAAATACTCAAAAGACAGATTAGCATCCTCTGGTTCAGCCTACAGAGAAAGAAAAGCATTAAGCAAAGCATGTGAGCTTTCCAAGGATGCGCTTTCCTAGAACTGCCCTCCCTACTGTTCAAGCCCAGTGTGGAAGCCTGACAATTTGGTCAGCAAACTGTTTCACAGGTTTGTGTTGTTTCTCCTAAATCAGAATACTACCCAATTTCTGAAAAACAAAAGTCTCGCTCAGCAGAAAGGAGGCTGAGAACAGGAGGATCAAAAGTTTGAGACCCAATTGAAATACATAGTGACTTCCAGACCAAGGTGGGAAAGATAACCAAACTCTGTCTCAAATTAAGAAACAACAAGAAACTCAAATGCCTGAAAACCACTCTGAAAGGGGGAGATCATGGAACATCCACTTAATCAAGCTTTTACCAAATATGAGCCTCAGAACAAACTCCTACTGCATGTAAACATGGTATATTTATAAAATGCTCTGGATTCAGAGCATTTCGAACCTTTTTACCAAGAGCTCTAAATGGACCGAGAAAATGTTTTTTTCTCATGGGGCTTGAACTCAAGGCCTGAATGCTTTCCTTGAGCTCTTTTTCTCAAATCTATTGCTCTACTACTTTGAGCCACAGCCCTACTTCCAGTTTTCTGCTGTCTAAGTGGAGATAAGAGTCTCAGGGAGCCTGGGCGGCAGGGGTGTTGGGGTGTTGGCAGAGTAGGAGGGGGCGGTGGCTTATACCTCTAATCCTAGCTCCTAAGGGGGCTGAGATCTGAGGAACTCAGTTCAACACCAGCCTGGACAGGAAAGTCTGTAGGAGTCTTATCTCCAATATATTACCTGAAAAACTGGAACTGGTTCTGTGGCTCAAGTTAGAGTGCTCACCTTGGGCTGAAGAGCTGAGGGACAGTGCCCAGGCACAGAGTTCAAGACCTTTAAAAAGCAACAAGAACAAAATGTCTCATGGGGGGCTGGAAGGTGGCTCAGTGGTAGAGCCCTTGCCTTGCATGCCAGAGGCCCTGGGTTCAATTCCTCAGCACCACATGAGCAAAAAGAAAAAGGCCGGAAGTGTTGCTGTGGCTCAAGTGGTAGAGGGCTAGCCTTGAGCTGAAGAGCTGAGGCCCAGTGCATAGGCCCAGAGTTCAGGACCCAGGACCAGACCCAAAAAAACCAAAATGTCTCATGGACTTTCTTTCCCAGGCTGGCTTTAAAGCACAATCCTTAGATCTCAGCCTCCTGAGTAACTAGGATGACAGTCATGAACCACCAGTGCCCAGCTCAACCTAGAAAATCTGATCCCCAAGAGTGCTGAAAATCTGCTTATGCTCTGCTCTGGCCTAACAACTGAACAATAACAATACAATTTTGTTAATTTTTTAACGTCAGGAATTACCTATCTGCTGTGAGTATTATGTTGTTCCCTTTTATCCTGGAGCTTTGTGGCAGAGGACCAGCATTAACTGAAATAGGTGCATTCATCAATGCACTGAACAGGAATTGGTCTGCAATCTCACTGTGGGGCCATCAACATATGTCAAGATGTCTGCATTATATAAGGCCTCATTGTTCCACTCATTTCAACCAGTTCAAAAGCCATTTCTGAGCTGAACTCTTAGGTTAGGTAGAGGATTTAGGGAGTCCTTGGATTCAAACCAGTACAGAGATAGAGAGATAGAGATAAAGAGAGAGAGAGAGATAGACAAAAAGACAGGCAGAGAGAGAGATGGAGAGAAATAGAGTGAGAGACAAAGACAGAGACACAGGCAGAGAGAGAAATGAAAGGAGGGAGGGAGGTGTAAAGGAAGAAGGGAGGAAGGAAAAGAAGGAATGAAGGAAGGGAGGGAAGAAGGATGGGAGAAAAGGAGGAAGAGAGGAAGGGAAGAAGGCAGCCAGGAAGGAATGAAGATAGGGAGGGAATGAACCAATTTCATTTTATTTTTCTGAATCATAATTATTATTCTTGTCTCCATAGTCCAGAACACTCACCTTTTCTGTTTCCTTTTTGCACGGGCAAGGTAGCAACTTTATACATCATAGGAAATATAACAGCAGTGAAAATTGCAGACCCAAAACAGGCATACACCACTACTGGTAGATCTGGATATTGTCCTTGAAGAACTCCGGTTAATGCAGGAATAGCCATTAGTCCCAAGGAAGCACCAATCATAATAAATGCAGCAGATTTGCCAGTGATGGTGGTGTACTGTTGCATCCAAGAAAAAGCACTGGGAAACGGGGTGGCCATGGAGGCCCCATACACAGAGGTTGCTATCCACAGACAAAGGGTGCTCCTGTGAAAAAGCACCAGACACAAACAGGAGGCCAGGCTGCCAATGTTGCTCAACAAAATCATAGTGACAGGGCTTAAACACCCAGCAAAGCCCATTGCCAGGCCCCTGCAGGCTGCGAAGGTCCCCCAGAAGATGGAGTTCAAGCCAGCTGCCTGTCTCTCATCCATGCCAACAAGGGTGGTGGCAAAGGAGAAAAGGTAAGAAGTGTATGTCATCTGAGCCCCAATGTAGAAGAAGAAGAACAGAAAAAGCAGACAGAGAAGGGCCTTGTGGTATTGAGCTCTTTGAGATTGCTGAGCAGATTCTGTTGATTTTCCCTGCCTTGAGCTTCTCATGCAGAACAGAGCAAAGAAAAGGAGAGAAACTACAAGAATGTAAGTGCCTATGGAAGCATAAGCCCACAGTAAGTTCATGTCATGGGGAGCTGCGAGTAGAGGATCTGAAGTGCTTTCAGAAGAGGCATTGAGGGCTGCAGGGAGAAAGTCGGGCTCTGTGTAGTTGTCAGCAGAGGCTTTGGGGCCCAGCGCCAGTTTGGCCAGCAGGGGAGCCAGGAAGGCACCCAGGGCATAACTGAAGTGTAAGGCCTGCATGTGGCTGGGGCTCTTGTCCCCCCAAAGAGCCAAGATGAGCACTTTACCACCTAGCAAAGAGACACAGAGAAAGTTTTAAGTTATACACAGAACTTAGTAACACTGGCCCGAATCACTTCTGTGTCTCAGCAGCCCTAAGCCACCACCACCACCCCCAGACAACAATGTTCTTACAGCCAGGCTCAGTACTAAGGCTTGTTATAAAACAGTTCCAACTCTGATCAGATGCTGGTGGCTCACACCGCTAATCCTAGCTACTCAGGAGGCTGAGATCTGAAGGTTATGGATTTGAAGGCAGCCCCAGCAGGAAAGTCGTTAAGAGTCCAATTAACCACTAGAAAACAGGAAGTGAAGCTGTGGCTCAAAATGACAGAATACTAGCATTTAGCAAAGAAGCTCAGGGACAGTGTCCATGCCTTGAGTGCAAACAAATAAGAACAAAAAGTAAATAAACAAAAGCACTGCCAACTCCACATTGGAGACTAATATTATTATATCTACTTGTATATATAAAGACTTATACATATTTGCCAGGCAAATTAAATAGTGAGCAAATCACCAAAGGGTGTCATATGGGTAGGCCATTGAAGAGTTTATATTGTATATAAAAGGCAGATTCAAACTATCCAGGCAGGACTTGATTACAGGATTCTGTTGAGCTCATAACAGACAAGAATATCAAGTTTTCTGTTTTGTACTTAGATTTCAGATATGCACATATTTCCCCCTGGAATTTTATAGTCAAACAAAATCTGAAAGATAAAATATGTCCATAGTCTGACAATGAGCATGCAAGGAGGGTAGAATTAAAGGATAAAGAGCTATCACATGTGTCATTTAGTCACATTTTGAAGATGGGTGGAGAATAGGAACTTTAGATGGTAAAACAAAAAAGAGTAGAAAAGAAATAGGAAAGTTGTGCCAGGAGTCTCTAAGCTTAAAACCAGGTGGCTGTCTCTATGCTTGTACAGCCAAATAAATAGTGGTTCCACATTTATTTCAGCTATCAAACCATCATTGTCTCTCTCCCTCTCTCTCTTTTTTTTTTTTTTGGTCAGTGGTGGGGCTTGACCTCTGGTCCTGGGGCTGTCCCTGAGCAATTCAGCTCAAGGTAAGTGCTCTACCAATTGAGCCACAGCACCACTTCCAGTTTTCTGGTGGTTAGTGAGAGATAAGAATCTCATGGACTTTCCTACCTGGGCTGGCTTTGAACCATGATCCTCAGATCTCAGCCTCCTGACTAGCTAAGATTATAGGCGTGAGCCACGGGTGTCCAGTTCCATCATTGTCTCTTATACCACAATGATAAAGATTGATCTCAAAATGATAGATTGATCACCTTTGTTTTAGTTTACCCATAGTTAGAGGGATTGAATTGTTATTTTACTTTATTTTATTTTTTGTACTATTTTTATTTTCTACTAGTGCTGGTTCGTGAAATCAGAGTGTGCACACAGTTGTTTAACTTTTTTGCTCAAGGCTGTCACTCTACCATCTGAGCCACACTTCCAACTTCCAGCTTTTTGCTGGCTAATTGGAGATAAGAATCTCACAGACTATACTGTGCTCACTTTGAACTATGTTCCTCAGATATTAGCCTCCCGAGAAGTTAGGATTTTGGGCATGAGCCATCAGCAACTTACAATATTTTAAATGAACAATCTTTCAGAGCTTTCAGATGTTCAAAATTCCACTAACCTGTATCCAGAACACCAAATGAGGCACCCATGGCAGACACCATGACAATCAGCAACACTGCAGTCTTGCAAAATGGAATAAGATAAGTACTCACAGTCATGACCCACATGGACAGCCCTGCAAACGAGAGTCAAACATCAGCTATAAAAGCAGCATTTGGGCTGGGAATGTGGCTTAGTGGCTTGCATAGCATGCATGAAGACCTGGGTTTGATTTCACAGTACCACATAAATAGAAAAAACTCAAAGTGGCACCGTGGCTCAATGGGTACAGTGCTTGCCTTGAGTAAAAGAAACTTAGGGATAATGCCCAGGAACTGAGTTCAGGCCCAGAAATGGCAAAATAAATTAATAACTAATAATGATACTAATTAATGAATTAAACCAGCATTCCTGCAGGGTCATGAGTCAAGCCAATATCATTAAAGCTTCCAGGAGATTCATGAAGGCAGGTTTGCTTTTAGGGTGATGACTGCTTAGAATTAAAGCTGATATTTTTTTCTGCTTGATTTATATCTGGACTATTAATTCAATGAGTCATGAGCAAATGAGTTAAGGCATAACGATTAATGGATGAAGAAAGTCACACCTGTAAATAATAAAATAAATTTTTTAAAAAGCTTCCAAAACACAAAGTAAGTTCAAGTTAACTCTAAGTGGTCATATCATTAAAATATTTTAAGATCTTTGTGTAGTATTAAATCTATATATGATACCACTAAGCAAATCTTTATTACAGAAGAGACAAAATTTATTTACTTAAATAGTTTACATTTAAGAACCCAAAAGAGCCAGTCATTAGTGACTCAGGCCTGTAATCCTAGCTACACAGGAGGCTAAAATCTGAGGATCACAGGTCATGAGTTCAAGCCCAAAGACTGGAAAAACAGAGAACCAAAAGGGACTTTTAAATATGGTACAACTAATATAATAGTGTTTAGTAAATCAGAATAAATTGTTTTGGCAAATAGTGAAGCAATTCAAGGCACATTTACTATTATGCTGGACATGGGATTCAGTGATAGACCTGCTAGGCAGCATGTGTGGGGCTCTAGGTGGGATTATCAAGATGACAAAAAAATTACACACACACACACACACACACACACACACATGTGTGTGCATATCTTTGAAAGCTACTTTAGACATAAGGATATTTTATTTAATTATCAGTAAATGTAGATTATTCTCCTTGCTTCCAAAGTTGCTTTGTCAGATGGATCTCGATTTACTTGAAACCCATGGCCCCTGCTCAAACCACAGCATGCTAAAAAGCATTGGCAGGGGCAGGGAAGGTGGCTCAGGGGTAGAGTGCTTGCATTGTATGCATGAGGCCCTGGGTTTGATTCCTCAGCACCACATAAGCAGAAAAAGCCAGAAGTGGAGCTATGGCTCAAGTGGTAGAGCGCTAGCCTTGAGCAGAAGAGCTGAGGGACAGCGTCCAGACCCAGAGTTCTGGCCCCATGACTGATAAAATTAAATTGAAATAAAACAAAATAAAAAGCGATGCTAGTCACCACCAGGCTGCAGCATAGCGCTCTGGGCTCATCACTAACATGGAGACAAATGTGCGGCCTGTGTCAGTTTGTCACCATCTCCTGCCCCACACTGTCAACCCAGAGTCCAGAGAGCCTGGCCACATTCCCACAGCTCATCTGGCTCCAGGTAGCCCTAGAGACCTGCCCTACACCCAATGTGCAGAGCTTTGGGACAAGTGTGTGACATGGTGCCTCAGTTCCCCTGGAGGTCGGGAGGCTCAGGACTGCCATCAGCACATCTGAGGGTTAATCAAGGCTCCAGGTGGCCCAGCCCAGATGCCCTGTGGCTGCCAAGGTGAGAGCCACGGAGAAAGACCTGGCTTCTGAGGAGGACCCTGAAACACCATTCATTTCAGTTGTCAACAAGTTTTCTTATTGTAAATATGAAGTTGTAAATTCACTGACAGGTACAAAGAAGCAAAGATCATTGTTTCCTTACCCAGAAGTAAAATCCGATTCATACAGTCCAAAAGAAATCCTCCGATCAAAGAGCCACACATATATCCTAAAGCACGACCCACAAATATTTCAGAAAGACTGCTGATATTGCGGTTCACGTTAGTGGCCAGATCTTGAAAAGTAGGCCCCAGTATAGAAACACGTATTCCCTGAAATATTAAAAAAAAAAAAAGCCAAAAATGTTTGCTTATCAAAACAATATGCATCTAGTTCACATCCATTACTGAAAAATGGGGAGATGATACAAAGTAAAGTAGAGAATGAAGTCAAGGCCCTGTGACACTGTCGTGTCTCCATCTCATAATCAGTCACTCTTTTGTACTTATATTTCCTTGTTCTTATAGTTGCTGCAATTGTTTGTCTCTTGATTTCAAGAGGCAACTGTCAGCTGTGTTGTTTGTCACCAGCCAGCTGTGTAGGGGTAGGAGTCCTTACCAAGGACTTAAAGAACATCCCCTTGGGGCTTGTTGACAACAAGACAGAATGTTGTCTAGCTTCTTTAAATCAGCCAATCACAAACAGAACCTGAGCTGGACTCCTATTGGTAGAAGGGAGGGCACCAATCTTTGTATTAGCATAAAAACCAAGGGGGCTGGGTCTACCTGCCTAACTCTGGGAGAGTGCCTTTGCACCCTTCTGTGCAGAAGTGGATTGACTGGACTAAATCTCCTTGTCTCTTGAGTGTCCTGAGTGACTCCGGAGGATTCCCTACTTGTAAGAGCCCACAGGAAGAAAAACACATACAGTGACACTCCTGTCATCACCAGAGCTGTAGACTCCAACAGCTTTCCTTCTCATCAAAATTTTTAATTTCATCAGGTTGTGGTGGTGCATTTCTGAATTCCATTGTTTAGACAGCAGGATGATCTCAAGTTCAGGGTTTCCCTGGACTAAAATAGCAAGATACAGATTCCAAAACACAAAACAAAACAAACCTTGGCCTGTTTCAAAACTGTTTTATTTCTAGTAGCATTTTGTTGTAGTTAGTTCACTATTTGAATAATACCTTGAAAGACTACTTTGAGAATAGCAATTGTTTTATACAACAATTTCAAGACTGGAAGAAGGAGGAGGAGGAATAAGAGAAAGAGGAAGAAGAAGAGGAAGAAGAAGAGGAAGAAAAAGAAGAAAAGAGTGTATTGAAAGTTAGTAAGTTGCTGCCTGGGAATGTCAGTCAGTGATATAGTATCTGCCCACCTTGCTTGAGTTCCTGTATTCAATCTCCAGCATGGCAAAAATCAAAATAAATGAATTTATGTGTTTATTTATCACATGTGGATTGCATAATGTTCCATTAACTTTATGACAATAAAGCTATTCTTGAGGTCATTTTAAATTCTAAGCATAGCACACGCCCTACTTTCCTGTCTTCCTCCTTTCTTTCTTCCCCTTCTCTTCCTTTCATTTATTTCAACTCAGGGCCTGGGCCCAAAGTCCCTGAGCTTTTTCTCTAGGTTAGCTCTCTACCATGAGCCACAGCTCAACTTGGAACTTTTCAGTTGTTCATTGAAGATAAGATTCTCACAGACCCTCCTGCAAGGGCTGGCTTCTTCCATCCTCAGATACCAGTTTCTGAGTAGCTAGGGTTATAAGTGTGAGCCACCCACCCTGGCTAATTTTTCCTTGGAAGACTGACATTGGCTATGAGGACTGAAGTTACCCTCCAGAGACTCCCAGGAGAACCAGCGATGGAATATTTAGAATGGACCAACCAGGGCCTCTTGTGCCTGCCAGTCTCTCAGGGCACCTGGGGGTCATGAGAGAGAATTCTCTTCCATTGGAGTGTCACAAATTTGGGTTTTGAGCTCTCTGGGGCTGAACTAAATCCAGGATCACACTGAATTTGATGATCAACTGGCTCTTATCCAGTCAGAGACCCCCTATGAAAATAGATTCCTCCAAATCTAAGGCGCCCACTTGCTGAGGCTCCTGCTAACTTGACTCACAAAAATTATGGACCCAGAATAGGTGTGTGTCTAGAAACACAGGGTAGCCTTATTCTGCACACACAGACCTGAAAACCTTAGAGAAGGAGAGAGATCACCAACCCTTGTGGGAGAAGATGTGGGTCCCAGGGGAGCTGAGGGGTCTTTAGATGGATCAGGTCCTTAGATGGAGGGCCTGTGAAGAGCACTGAGAGGGAACTGAGCGAGATAACCCTAAGTCTCAGCCAGCCAGGCCAAAGGGCAAGGCGGGACTGAGGAGCTGGGGCTCAGCTAGGGGAAGAGATAGATCCTGATGGCTTCCCACAGGCCAGCAGGCCTCCTGTCCCCCTGATTACAAATGCCTCAGAAAAAAGGAAAATAGAAATGCTTATATAACTGAGGAATTCTCTCTCTCAAAAAGAAAATTTAAAGGGCTGGGATGTAGTTCAGTGGTAAAGCACTTCTCTATCAAGTGCAACATCCTGGATAAGATTCCCAGTACCAATAAAGAAAAAGTCCAGAAGAAGAAGAAGAAAGAAGGAAGAAGAAGAAGAAGAAGAAGAAGAAGAAGAAGAAGAAGAAGAAGAAGAAGAAGAAGAAGAAGAAGAAGAAGAAGAAGAAGAAGAAGAAGAAGAAGAAGAAGAAGAAGAAGAAGAAGAAGAAGAAGAAGAAGAAGAAGAAGAAGAAGAAGAAGAAGAAGAAGAAGAAGAAGAAGAGTTCACTGGAAATTGGCATCACCAAAGATTAAGGTTTTAACTTAATAGAAGAAACTGAAGTCACTAGAAATAGGAAGGGGGAGCTCTGAATGCAACTATACAGGAATGTGGAAGGTGATTTTGGTAACATTATACGGTATAAAGATATTCGATTAAAGGTAAAGAGACTAATTTTTATTCTAATGTAGAAGGACTGGTGTTCTCAAATGAGAAGAGGAAAGAACAGGACAAAATCTGGATGGATAAGAACATTGTATAATCCTGAGTTTGGTGTTCAAGAATATTCATAAAAAAGACCATGAACTACAGGCTTCTTTTTTTTTGTTATTGTTGGTTGTGTGGCTTAAACTCTGGGCCTGGGCAATGTCTCTGAGCTCTTCAGCTCAAGGCTAGCACTCTACCACCTGAGCCACAGTGTCACTTCCAGTTTTCTGGTGGTTAATTGGAAATAAATGCCTCACAGACTTTCCTGCCTGGGCTGGCTTTGAACTGCCATCCTCAGATCTCAGCCTCCTGAGTAGCTAGGATTACAAGAAAGAGCCACCAGTGCCCAGCAACTACACAGTTTTGACAACTTTAAGACTCTTCCATTAGACTGGGTAAGACTTTTCAGAGCTTTGATGATGAAACGAAATGCCTCATAAACATCAAGCTGATCTTTAACAAAACATTAGGAAAACCAGAATTAATTAAATACAAAGGAAAAGATTTTCAGATTGTCATGCTAAGTCAACTACCACTGACTTTGTTAAGATATTCAGTCAGGGACCAGTAGCTCATGTCCATAATTCTAGCTACAACTACTCATGAGATTTGAGATCTGAGAATAGTGGTTTGAAGCCAGCCAAGGGAAGGATAGACTATGAGATTTTTAATCTCTAAATAAGCAGCAAAGAAAAGGAAGAAGGAAGGAAGGAAGAAAGAAAGGAAGGAAGGAGAAAGGAAGAAAGGAAGGAAGAAAACAAAGGAAGGAAGGAAGGAAGGAAAGAAAGAAGGAAGGAAGGAAGAAAAGGAAGGATGGAAGGAAAGAAGGAAGGAAGGAAAGAAGGAAGGAAGGAAGAAAGTAAAGAAGGAAGGAAGAAAGGAATGAAGGAAGAAAGAAAAGAGAAAAAAAAGAATCAAGGAGTAGAGCTGTATCTCAAGTGGTGGAGCACTAGCTAGAACACTAAACACAAAAGCTCAGGGACAGTGACCAGGCCTTGAGTTCAAGCCCCAGTAACAGCATAAAAACAACAACAACAAAAAAAGTGGGGATTACTTAGTAAACTAAACTTTCATAATATCACTTTAAATCCAGAAGCAGTAAGGTTCATTCCACTAAATGAGGTTACGCATCATGAAGTGGAAAGTGTGGTATAGGGGATGATTTAAAAAGTAACTTTCTACTGGATGTTGCTCAAGAGGTATACAGATTTATAGACAAATTTGACTTCTGCCTAATGGCCACCAGCTGGCGGTCTTGTCCAGCCCTCAGTTCAGCCTTCTGGCCTGGTCAAATATTACTCTTTGCCTGGCTGTCTCCTTCCTCTGTATCTTTACCCTGACCATGCACTTCTTGTACTCAGAGACAAAAGCTGTCAACATAAAAAATGTGCACTCTCTCTGCAGGAGATGAAGGTAAGTTTCAGGGAGGAACATTGTTCTTAGGGTTCTTAGTCACTGGCTCTTGGCAGCAGCGCAGTGCCACACTCATATGGAATTCAAAGCTAACCTCTAAGTTGGGGAACACTTTGGATCTGGTGGTTAAGCAGACCTCCCTAGGTCTCAAAGGGTAGGAGCCATGCTCTCACAGGCAAGAGAAAACAAGGATGTTTCACAATACCGTGGAGGAACAGCACTTAGCTTTACAGTTCCTCCTTGCCTGTGTTGGCTCATGTGAGGGGCTGAAGAATACTGAGTGCTTAACTTTCCAATGTGGTCAAAGAGGTCAAAGGAGGAGTTGAACAGGTGGCTGACAGGCTGGGGTGTAGTTCAATGGGCAGAGCACATACTTAGTATATACAGTAGACCCTGGGTTCTAACACAAGCACACACAGAGGAAAAGATGGCTGATGACTCTTGTTTCTTTTTGTTGTTGGTGGTGGTGGTTGGGGGGCTTGAACTTTGGCCTGGGCACTATCCCTGCACTCTTCAGCTCAAGGCCAGTGCTCTACCGCTTGACCTACAGCGCCACTTCCATGACTCTTGTTTCTTAAGACACTACCACCCCATCCACTGCAGAGACTCCTCAGAGGAAAAGAACACACCATGCCTGTGAGCTGCTGACTTGTTGTTAGCACGCATCTTTAATGGTAGACAGCAAGGTTTTTTACTCTTCATCTAGATTTCCAATCTTGCTTTAATGAGTCTCCAGGTCTCTGTGACTTGTGTTACTGGGCTAATTACAAAAATGGTGGACTTCTTCTTTTCCTTGTTGGTGCTGGTACTGGGGACTTGAATGCAGAGCATAGGGGCTGATCCTTAACTTTTCTGCTCAAGGTTGAAGATCTACTACTTAGGCCACAGCTCTTGGAGATAAGAATCTCTCAGATTTGTCTGCTCCAACTGGCTTTGAACTACAGTCTTCAGATCCCTACCTCTGAATAGGCAGGAATACAGGCATGAGTCATCAAGGTCTGGTTTAGATTACATATTTTTTATGTCAGGCAGTTTCAAATACAATTATGAGCTTTAATCATATCATTCTCTGAACAAAGATAATGGCCACTAGTGCTTGAATACTGTTCTTCTTTCTTTATTAAAGGGATATTAGATCATTTCATTTTAATCAGTTTGTTCATAGAGATACTTGTTATAAAGAGTATTTTGGCTTCTGGATATATCTTCCTGACAGTCATAATAATAGTCTCCCTGATATATTCCCTCATGAGTCATGAATGTCCTAAGCAGCCATTCCTGTTCATCAAATGATCAACAGAAACATGAAGCAAGCTTAAGGAATCATAAAGCAACTCTGTCGTTGTAAATTGTAAATTCCAGGTGCTAGCCAGTGGTGACTCATAACTGTAATCAGAGATAGTCAGAGATGCTGAGACCCAGAAGCTCAAGGTTTGAAGCCAGCCTGAGCAGAGAAATCCAGGACCCTTATTTCTAATTAATCAGCCAACTGCTGCATTAGAGATGTGGCTCAGGTGGTAGAGCACATGAGCAAAAACACCAGGGAGGAGTGTAATGCCCTGAGTTCAAGCTCTAGTACCAGCATAAATAACAACAACAAAAACAACAAATAGCAAATTCCATAATTAAGCCAAGCTGGCCATGGTCATGTGGTGACAGAAATTGCTGCCAGGGCTCAAGGTTTCGGTCACTTGAACTTTCTATCAACATTCTTGTCAATTTCCATTAACATGAACAGCTAACAAAATAGGGAATTGTTAAATTTGATCTACAGCTGCCTGTGTATAGAGGGAACTGTAACCACCTTAAAATATGATCAAACTTGGACCAGAGAGAGTGTTAGTTGATCACGTAGCTGTACAGTCCAAAGTGCAGCCCATCTCAGCCTGCAAGGTGCCAGAAATGTGCAAAAGAGGCAAATTCACTAAAACCAGCAATTCATTCCCATGTCACTTTCTTGCCCTGCCAATAGACATCACCTGCACAGGCTCCCTGACGGAGCTTGGCAAACAGTTGCTGTTCCGGTGTTTCCCAACACGTAAATCCTCAAATATTTATTTGTGCAAAGAATGTGATTTTAAAAATGACTTGCTTAGGACTGGGAAGGAGGCTCAGTGGTACAGCGCTTGCCTTGCATGCAAGAGGCCCTGGGTTCGACTCAGAGGCACCAGATAAACCAAAAGAAAAAAACCCTGAAGTGGTACTGTGGCTCAAGTGGTAGAGCACTAGCCTTGAGCTGAAGAGTTGATGGACAGCACCCAGGCCCAGAGTTCAGGCCCCACAACCGGATCCTACCCCCCAAAAAATGACTTGCTTAACTTTATAATGGAGGTTAGGAAGAACTAAGGGTTACAGTTGCCTTTCAGGGCTAATTCCTTGAACCCTTTAAGAAAAATGGTTTCACATTGTCTACTTTTCGAGAATACTTGGCTGTAACTGCACTGCTGCTCCAAAGGCAAGCCACCCCGCCCACATCCCACCTCCCACCGAGCTCAACTGGAGCAGGCACAACTAAGGACCAGGACCAGCACACTGGTGCACAGCAAGCACTTAGTACACTACAAAGTTAGGGCCTTGGCTGTATTCAAATCACTCCATGTCTTCTTAAGATTTACAAGTGTGAGGCACAGTGAGTGGGAACTCACCAATCACCTGCAGTGACTTCTTCCTTAGACCTTCTCCCTCCCTGCAATGACAAAGCTTTGCAGCAATCCTACCTCTGAGTCTCTGAGATGCTTAAGTGACCAAAAGTTACTTGCCGTGGTTCATCTTCCCACACCCCCAGATCGCAATTGTCAAATGCAGAAATAGAAGCTACCCAAGGGATTGGCAAAAGGTGTATATAGCCTTAACTATACTCCACTATTTTTATATTTCTTATAAGAAAAACTGAAGGGTTGATTAGAATTAGGGCAGAGTACAAGACAGGTGCCTAACTTTACCACTGAGCCAGACGAGTAAGGCTGGAAAAGTCATTTTCCTCTTGATTTCAATTCTGTCTGCAAAGTTAAGCAGCCAGGCTTTACAAAAAGACGAAACCCCAGAAAAGCACTTTTCTCTGTAACAATTTGGGCAGGGGCTAGAGATCCAAGAAACCTCTCTTGTGTCTGGGCCAGGACCTAAAGTAGTCTTACAAAAGTTTAAGACAGTTGAAACACATAGTAGGACACTCAATTTCATACACCACCCTCCACGATTGGCATTGTACCCCAAGGTTGGACGAGGACACTGAGGCCAAGCAGATGAGTGGTTACTCAGTGCTCAAGTAGGGAGAAGCAGGACTCCAGGGGGAGAGCACAGCCCTGCAGGACCCCTGCTAGAACCCAGCCTGGGCGCAGCCCAGCTCTCACCATCCCCAGGAAGGCCAGACACAGGATCACGGTGGTGAACCAGCGCAGCATGCTCCCTGCACGGCCACTCAGCCACCGGGACACCGCCACTGCCACGGGCTCTTTCTGGGCAGGGGCCTGGGCCTGGAGGAGCCGCTGCCCGGCAGCCCCCGGCCCACCGAGGTCGGCTTCCAGCTCCAGCCTGGCGGCCTTTTGCTGCCTGGGTATCCTGGGCTCTGAGCACTGGTCCCTCCAGCCGCAGAGGCCTCTGGGTGCCACCTCCCCCCATGGACGGTCCAAGGTCAGGGCCCAGGAGTTGAGACTTTGGACTGCGCACGTCTTGCAGGCTGGAGACACAAGCTGCTCCACTTAGCACCGCTCCTGCAGATGGTGGTTGGGATTTCCTCATCCAGGACCTGTCTCCACTGGTGAGGAAACTCGGTTGCCTGGGAGACAGAGAGTCGCTTCCCACTGCAGCATGTCTGCCAGGGGAGCCTGCAGACACCTGCCCATGGCGCCTCCTGGTCGAGGATCCTGTAAATGCAGCCTCTGAACAGCTGCATCCTCTGGGCTGACACCCTCTGCCCCATGGTCTGGGGTCTCTAGGCCCATGCAATGGGACCCTGCCAGAACTCCGCCTGCACCTCTCAGCGTCACCAGAGGCCTCCTGGGCGCAGCTCCCTCTGCGGACTCTCCACCGTGCTGGGATGGACCAAGGGTCTCTGCATGCAGCCCATGCTCACCACAGCCAATTCCAAGATTTGACAGGCAGCACAGAAACAGCTGGGGCCAAGTCGCAAGCAGGAGTAAGTGTGCATTTGTGGAGTAGTTCAGCATTTCCTCCTCTCCCTGTGGCTAGATGGACACGAATAAAATTCCATATGTAATGAAAAAAGTACCCAAATATCACCAAGGATGTCTCAAGCGACCTAAAAGAAGCACCACCAAATTCGGGCCTCTTCTCCAAGGAGTTCCAAACGCTAGTGAGGTAGTGCAAGTTGCAGGCTGTAGCAGAAAGTGATGAGAAGTGTTACTTTTGCAATGTTCTACTACTAAGCTATTCACATGTAGACCAAGACCCTTAATTCTCAAGAGCAGGAGATATTGACTTGAGTAACATTCATTTAAACTACAGGTTGTAAAGACAACACATAGTGTGCTTGCCCTCACAATGAAGCGGTTCTTGCAGTTGGTGATCCTAAAGCAAGTGAGTGTGAAAATGTCATTCACCAATATGGACCTGTGTGGAACAATAAATGCGCTGAGAGAAGAAGAGGTGTGATAGGTTGGGAAAGACCTAGACTGTGTGGTGAGTCAGCCACCACTTCCAACCTCATCATGACAAGATCACGTCCAGCACTGCAAAGATTCATCCATATAGTCATCCAAGCTACCAAAGTCAGAGAACACTATTAAAGGGACAGCTTTATTAGTCCACAGATAATCAGCTAATAGAAATGGAAATTTTAGAAATGGAGGACCAACAATGGGGTACAAGAGAAATCATCAACATGGCTACCAAAATGAGGCAGATGACTCAACAAGACAGATATGGGGGAGAGGGGGTTCAGCACACACATGAGCCCTTCACAGAAGGGTGGGCAACTCAGCAAGATGCTTGAGAGATAGAAGGACCAAGCAGGAGCCTCATGCAGCATAAGTCCAACCCTCGACCATTCAGACAGGAGCCCTCCTCAGATCTTAGGAGGTAAAGGACTCTGCATATAATAGCATCCAGAGAGACTGGGCATTCTGGGTTCTAGGATCCTTCCTTTTACAAGGAGTTCATTTTGCCATTTCATTCACTTCTCCTTTGTGGTTGTTATTGTTGTTGTTGTTTTGCTTTCAAAAACACCTGCTCCTCCTCCTTTAAGCACTTTCCTGCTCTTTAATATTTTAATTGGAAGAGAAAACAAACTAGAATCTTAGACAGCATCAAACCTTTGATACTATTTGTTCCTCCCAGAATCCTGTGTTTGGGTTTCCTGGTGTCTATCTGCCAAGACACTCAGAGGCTGCCGCAGCCACGGTACAAATGTTCCAGGTGTAGCTCCAGGACAGTACGGCTCAGCACACACAGCACTGTCCTCAGGATGCTGATTCTGCAGACATTCACAGTGAAAGAGTTGTAGGATGTTCAGAGGCTTCCACCCGGATTTCACATAAAAGCCTGCAAGGTCCAATGGCATGCAGCAGGCTCAGAGTGTCTGCAAGCAGGCCCTTATAGGACAAATCTTGGACACAGAGACACAAAGGAGACCACAGCAAGATGCCAGAAACTTGACCTGTCTGCTTAGAGAATCTGCAGACAATAGACAGAACCAGCCAAAGAGAGTGAGTAAAGTCAGCAAAATCCTAGGGCTAGGCTATTCAAGATATGAGAACCCACTATCTACTCCCAATCTTTTCCCTACTGACTTTATGTCTTATTTTGGCTTGATCCCTTTTTCTTTCTTTTCCTTTTTCTTGTTATTGTAAAGATGATGTACAGCAGGGTTACAGTCACAAAAGTCAGGTAATGAGAACATTTCTTTTAAAAAATAATGATAAGCAATGTTCAATTATTTGCATTTATTTTATGCTAAACTTATTCCAGTGCCATAAATTTTTGTTTCTTCTGGGATACCTTTTTCTTCGGTGAGGCCTCCTCTTCTGACTTAGAACCAATTTGCTCCTTCCACTTCTGTTTGAAGTGTCACCTCTTCCCTCATTTTCTCTCAGCTTTCCCTCCTGACCTCCCTCCTGCACAAGGTGTATAGTTCCTTTTCAGCAGAGTGTCTAGTGTGTGTCTCTCCTGCATTTGACACCCTTTGTTTCCCATTTCTGTGACTCCCTTACCCTCCCCCAAATAGATACACTTACCTACAAGACAACAAGTACAGAAGGCAAAAATGATGACAAAAGGAGAAAAGCACAAAAAGTAAAATAATAAAAAGCCTCATTTCCACTTCTTGGAGTTCATTTCATAAATATCATTTTACATGGTCATATACACATAGCTTTTCTGATATACACATGAGCCTCTGTGATCCTCTCCTCCTTTGGTCCCACTGGGAGAATGTTTAGAGTCCTGATTAAGTGTATTTCTTGGTCTTTCACCATCCATTGTGTTGACTTATAGATTTATAGGCACATTTTAATTACTACGAATGAGGGAAAACCTTTGTCTCTTTGGGTCTAGCTAATTTCACTTAATAAACAATTTCGCAAGTCTGTCCATCTCCTCACTCAAGGGGCAATATCATAGTTTCTGAAGGAAGCATAGAATTCCAATGCATATATTTGCTAAACATTCTTGACCCATTCACACACTGAGAGGCATCTGGGATTCTATATCTTGGATTCAGTAAACAATGCTGCAATGAACCTGGTTGTGCTGGTAGCTGTGGTGTGGTCTTGTTTGTGGTCTATTGGATAAATGCCCAGGAATGGTATTGCTGGGTCAGAGGAAAGCTCTATGCTGAGTCTTTTGATCTTTCCTTCTATTTCCAACTCCTCCCTGTTGGAGGAGATGCTTACCCCCATTGTATCTGGCAGGTATCTACCTTCCTTTTTTGTTTTTAGAGGGAATCACAACTAAGAGTTTTCTTGAGTCTCCATGGAGACTTTGCACTTGGGCTCTGCACAATATTATATTAGTCAGTACTGGGAAGAATCATGGAGATTACACTGAAATAATGCATTTTGGAGGCTCAAGCAGGGCTCAAAGAAAGGGAAATGGAAATGAGCTCTTCAGGACCAGACATTATATCATGGTTGGGGTTTTGAATGTCTTCCAAAGGCTCCTATGTTAAGGCTTGGTTCCTACAAGTGGAGGAGTCATAAAGAGGTGGGACTTCAAGAGACATGATTAGGTCACTAGTTGTTTGCTCTTTAAAGTGATTTTGGTGCCATGGTCCCTTTCTCATTCTCTTGTGCTCTGAGCTTGAGTTGAGAAGTTTTCCAATGCCAGATGCTCCTGTCATGAGTTGCTGCCTTGCTACAGGCCTGAAAACAACAGAGCTAAGCAATCAGGGCTAGAACCTCTAAAACTATGAGTAGAAACACAAACCTTTTCTCTTTAAGTGGATTATCTTGGGTGTTGGTGATGCATACACAATAGCAATTTATACTTTGGATTTTGAAATCCAGTGTAGATTTCCAAAAAGAACAAGAGGCTTGTAATATCTTCATCAGCCTTCTACAAAGTTGCTCATTGTTAACCTAAACAATGTTGTAGTGGTCATAGAAGGTAAATGGTCAGAGGTCAATAAAGGGTCTGTGTTTCACTGAAGACAAAACAAATCAACTTGTTTTCAAAAGGCAATTTATGTACATGCAATGAGAGAAAGCAACTATATTAATTTATGATTATATATTAAATGTAATACAGTGCAAAACTTAGGAAGAAGTGAACAAAATCTGTCATCAGTTCTACTTATTTATCCAAGGATGGACACATCAGTTTGTCTATTTTCATATGAAGTTCTTTCCCATCCCTGACTTCGAGGCCACCAAGCCACCTTCTCACCTCTACTTTGGGGTCCCAAGTATTTCACACTTAGGGAGCAGGAGCCCTGGATGATGGCTGGGCCATCTATTCCAATCCCTGGGAAAGATGGTGTCTCTTTAACTAATTTCACTCAACTTATCATCTGACCCATCCCTGCAGGATGTCATCACCATTCAAAACCAGTGGTGGCTCACACATGTAACCTTAACTATTCAGGATGCTGAGATCTGAGGACAAAGTTTGAAGACGGCCTAGGCAGGCAAATCTGTGAGTCTCTTATCTCAGGAAAACTATTCAGAAAACGCCAAATCCAGTATCAAGACCCAGACAAACCTCAGGTAGAGAACCCCAGTTGGGTTGGCTGACAGCGATGCTGCCAGTACTGTAGTAACCTTCAACTAGCCTCTGCCATCAGAACTGTGTCTCAAAGACCCATCACAGCATCAAGAGGGAAAACTGACAATAAAAATATCCTTTCCTCTTAGCTCAGTGGGGAAGCACTAGCTAGTATAGGCAAGTCCAAAGATTCAATAATCAGCAATGTGGGGGGACATTTACTTTTAAAAATTTGAAAAAGATACTAC